CCCTTGGCCGCCCAACTTGGGCGTGCAGTTTGTAATTTCCGAAAAAAAAAGCCCCTACAATTCGATTTGTAGGGGCTTTAAATATGAAATTGGTTGCGTAAACGACATGGGCAATGTATATTTTACGGAAATTAGTCGAAATTACCTCAAAAAATCGAAGCCCAATGGCTATTCGAGCTTGATTTCTTCTTTTCCGGTTTTTTTTTTTTTTTTTTTGCTATTTGCGGTTTTTGGGTTTTTGGAGGTTTAGAGAGAGAGAGAGTTTTTTTTATGAACCGCGAATAGCAAAAACGCAACCGCGAATAGCATTTCCGTTTTTTTTCTACTTAAATAAATAAGTGGGGATAAAAAAAGTAGAAAAAAATTGCAAATTCCAGCCCATTAATAAATTAATAATACAGTCGGAACTAACAAAATTCTATTAATTTAACGAAATATTAAATTATCGAATTTACAGTGTAATAATTTTTTACCGAGTCTAGACCGAAAACTATTATTATTTAAACGAGATTATTAATTTATCAAGATTTTACTGTATTATAATACGGTTCCTACAAAAAAATAATAAATATATATATATAAAAAAATGATGTATATAATATTGGTAGGTTTATGTCAAGTATATTTTTTTATTTGCAAGGACCATTAGCTATTTAAAATCGAATTGTCATGACATTAGCAAACACCAACAACTTATAAAAGTAAAGCAATTATCTGAAATTTATTTACAAATTACAATCACCAACTTCTCTATGTTTACATATCTTCAATCTTCACATGCTATTGATAACTTTGGTTCTGATTTTCTTTCTTTTTTTTCTAAGCAAACAAAAGCGATAAAAGTAACTTGGTCGAATATACACTGCACAGCACCGATCAAACGTACTTTCAGCGACGACTGCACGGCAAGTCAACGAAGAAAAGAAGAAAAGTTGACTTAGATAACTGTTCGAATTATCAATATCAGGACTTGGGATCAAATATTGTGAAAATTAAAAGAAGATCAAATATTCTTCGATTTGATGTCTTTCAACTAATACGAGAACATTTATCAAACAAATTAATAATAATAAAATAAGACGAGAACAAACTCAACACAACAGACCTGTAGTATCTCGAACGAGATTTGGCTGGGCTCCTTCTTGGTGCATAATCAGTTCGAACCTTTTCTTTAGAGCTTGGAGACCCGCGATTTGACTTTTGACTTTTCTCGTCGTGCGGAGAAGACTTACGATGTCTTCGAGACCTTTCACGAGACCTATGTCTTCTATGAAAAGGAAAGTGCAATATGCAAATAATTAGTTATTTTGCATTTTTCAAGGTAAAAATTAGCAAAACCAGAAGAAAATACGAAAAAACAGCTACTAAGATCTCTGATTCTCTCTTACAAGGTTAGCCTGTCGACACACAATTCACATAAAAGAGCACAGAAATTCAAATTCCAAATGCACCGGTTGAAAATAAAACAAGACAAGTCGTCGTCAAAAAACCTAATCGACTGAAGTATGACTTGTGTACCTGAATTTCTTTTTTTCAGAATTTCTGAAAAAAACAAGATACTGTGAAGCACACAATGTTTAAGGGCTCTACATCAATGAACTTCAGAGCCATCAGTAATGACTTTGAAACTTTTTGCTTCTTTGAAGATGGTTTCTTTCTTTCTTTCGCCAAATATACGATCTAGAATCTTTCTTTAACTGGATGGCAAGCAACATCAGTAAATCAAACTAGCAAACTAAGAAGAAAAGAAACAGAAGTTCTGTCGACCATGTAAATATTTTTCAAAAATAGTACCAAGTAATGCAGAAGTTAAGTTATCCACGACAGACTTCTGGAAAGGCATTGATGAAAACGTAACGCAAAAAATCTGTCAATTTACGATTTCTCTTATTAGTCTTGGATTCATTATCTCACTTATTTTCACTTAATATCTGCATAACTCCCATTACCAGATGTATCGTTTGAACCCACCACAAGACATGTAATGCATGCTTAAAGAAATGACATTCTTGCAAGAAAACATAGCAACAAGAGATCATATATTAAGACTTTAACAAGGTAACAATATAAAACCGGCACGGAGAACATTGCAACAGGAGAAAGAAGGGGCCAAAAAATAGTATTTTCCACAGGTGCCAAAAACAAAAGAAATCATGACTGCACACAATAACTTTGTACGTCATATAACGAGAAAAATCCACCACACAAACAACGCAATTATTAATTTTAATACATATACCTCAAGTCAAGCCTTGCTGGAGAACGGGAGCGCAAATAAGCTGCCATATGAAAACACAACCTTTCAGAGAGACAGTTTGTGTACCGTTCAGAAACAGTTTATATGCTTCAAAACTTTCTAGCTGTAAAACCAGCACCAGAAAGAACTTTTTAAGAGTTATATCAATTTTTTGAACAGGTTTAGGAGTTAACATGCCAAATAAGATGAGAAATTTCATTTCTACTCACAGCGATATCTTTGTCTTGGGGAAGACAATGGACTCCGTTTCCAGCGGCTTCCCCGGTAACTGCAAATAAGAGCACGATAACCTAAGTCAATATACCTAGGAACAATGTAATTACCAAGAAAAGACAAACTAAATAAAATGTACAACCTTGGCCCTGTAAGTTTACGCATTTCTGCAGGAGTTTTCTTGTTTATCCTAGTAAGAGTAACAGTTACTACACGCCCAGAAATGACCGTATGATCCAGTTGTTTTTGTGCTTTAGCTGCATCTTCAGGATTCAGGAACTTAACAAATCCAAACCCACGAGGTTTCCTGCATTTTGATTACCAAATATATCGGGCATGATATTTATTTAATTTTTAATAAAAAAAATTGGCCTTATATATATCAGGCATGAAGTTACATATCACAAATCTCGAAACATCGTGCTTACAGTAAGAAAGCATACCCTGAGTAGAAGAAGTTGGGCAGATTAACATCCTCTAACGGGCCAAATTTTTCAAAATGAACTCTAATCTCTTCTCGACTGCAAGGCAAGCACATAACAACTGCAAACTTAAGTCTCATAGATGCAAAACTTAAAACCCGAAAAATCGAAGGGAAACTGATGAAAAGTTTGACTTAAAAAAGAAAGAGTTTGCTTCTTGCACTAGAATAACAATTTTAAAGATGAAAAAATAGTAGTTCAGGGACGGCACCCAAATATTCATATCTAGCAATTAGCCATTTACACGACGTATACATTTTATACTTCTTAAATAGAAAACATTAGTATGCTGCTTAAGCACCATAAAATCCTAACAATCACAGACGAAGTTAGAGTCCAAAATCGATTAAAAACTACCCATAAAGCATGTTGCTAAACTAGCACTAGAAAAATATTCACAAGACTTGAGCCCCATCTTGTGGTCGCATAACGAAAATGTAGCATGGTAAGCCAACATGAACAGAGATTTATAAACAACCTCAATTAGTAGACAAAATTTAAATGCTCATGTATATGATAAGTAAAAGTTTTGTCATGTAAGCCATTTAACACGAACATAAAATCCATAATTTTCTGTGGCACTCAGTTTCTTAAACAATCAAGACATACGACAAAAATACCAAAGGAAATGTTCAATATCGTATTGCAGTAGTAATATCGTGTTAAAAAATCAAAGAAACTATACGTAATACATACAGTGCTCCATTTACCCAAGAGAAGTAAAATGTGACAGCTGTTCGAAAGTTTGTGCTAAAATAGAGGATACTTGTAATACAAAGGAATGCATCTATTTCGAGACATCCGACATACCCCGGCAGACGGCAGTTGCACAAATAACGTACTATGAGCTTATAAAGATAAACATTCAATAATAATAATAATAATGATAATAATAATATAAAGAAATTCTATCATGAAAAGGAGGCATATATCACCACTTCAAGATTCCTGCAACTAACTGAATCAGAAACAAGATAACAAATCATCGCAGAACAAGAAAATAATCAAAATCGGAAAATTCAATCGAAACTATTTTCCAGAACTAAACTCCAGTGAAAAATTCACCACCTCAATCACAACAGTTTCCATATACCCCCAAATTAGTATGATTCCAGGACGAGATTTTCCAAGTCTAACCGAATTTACGTGCCAAGGGTAACGAAATACAGTACAAGATCGCTAGCTCAAAAACGGTAAAACAGCTCGCACAAATGAAATTCCCACACAATTTTTTTTTTTTAAAAAAAAAAAATGAAAATGAGAAAACACCTCGTACTGAAAGGAATGTTGGTGACATAGAGGCAAGAGAGGGCAGGCGAGCGTCGCTCGCCGCGCTTGTCTTCCTTACGTGTCGCCGGGCTTCGGCTGCGGCTCCGTATTCGGCGGCGTCCGCGGCTGCTGCTTCGGCTCCGGTGATTCGCCATTGTGAATTATCCGTTTCGTTCTGTTTGGCCGTGGAATTTCAGTTTTGAAACCCTTGGAGAGAGAGAGAAGAGTCCGAGCAGTGTAAATTTTTGGAGGGAGAATGGAAAAGTGGGCAAAGTTTACAAAATATCCCCTAATCTCTTGATAATAACACTTTGGCCCCTTGTTTAGTCTTAAGTTCACAGGTTGGGGCCTTAAATAGGCCTCTCTTTCATAATGTATGTACTATGTAGTCCTTTGAGTGTTGGGCCTTTTAGAAAAATAAATTTATAATATTAAAATTAATTAATGATTAATAATTAATTATACAATTGACCTGATATTTCAATTGAATCTTAGCTATTTGAAAAAGACTGACATTTCACATTTTATTTTTTAAAATCTTAAATTTAAATTGTAATTGAATAATATGTACTCTATGGAAAATGAATAGCTGATTTTAGGCAGTAGTAATACATTTGAACAGCAAAAAATATCAATTTTTAAATCTTTTTATTTCAATTTCTTTTCTTCTGTTGAATCAAACATATGAATCAATGGCAGAATTTTATATAATTATTGTAAAATCATCATAGGGATTCCAAACACAGGGTGTCTGATGCTAAGATATAAAATATAAAAATTATTTCCAGCTGGCACATCATAACATATGATTAAATTAAAATAAATTTCTATCTTTTATTATTAGTACTTAAGAGTACTGTTAGATCTAACAGTTAGCATTTTAAAATATTTAACATGAAACAAATAATGTTTATAACATTGTATCCAATTATACTGTTTTACTTCAGTAAATGTGGCTATAGTTTATCTTCATATATAATAATTAATAACACCAAAAATTTGTTTACATAAGTTATCTTACTGGAAATTAGATGCAACACCTGGCGATTTATATCGGGTGAGTTTGAACCGTGTATCTGATTAAATAATTATCCACTAATCACACATACACATTTATACGTGTAATTATGTGTAAATCTATGATTCAAATACACCCAATATAAATAACCAGTATCTCTTATGATATCTACCCTTTAATTCAATCAAAAAAACCTCTTGTATCGAATAAAGCATCGTTTGAATTTGAATAAGGTAAATTAAAAACTTATGGGACGGAAATAAATAGACCCGGTTCGCTTATCACGATGAATTATACTTTGTTCGATACACTGTTGTCTTCCCGGTGTCTTACCTACCATTCCTTGGTTATTTATGGAGTTATATATATATATATATATTCAAGAACTAAAATCTGTTCCAGCACATGTCAATTGCACAGTGATACCAATGTTTTTCAACAAAATTTGTCTTGTCTATTTCGATTTCCCATATAATATATTATTAAGGGTAAATTATTTATATAAAAAAACCACTCCTATACTTAGGCTAAATAACGAAAAACACCGTCACATATTAAAAAACCCAAGGTTTGTTTTCGTCTTACACCAACCCTTTACATTATGATTTTTCACGGATTTTTTTTTTATTCCATGGAATAGACCAATAGACTTTACACAATTTCAGATATTTTCTTTCATATGTCACCTATTTAAAAGAAGGCATATAGACTGTACACATTTTTTATCAAAAAAATCGATCAACAGATAATCAGGGGGGATTTTGGTTTATCAAGGGCATGCGGGGATGTTTTTCATTATTTGGCTAAGTTAAGGGGATTTTCGTAATTTACCCTATAATTAATTAAATATCATGGGCTGACAAGATCCCATGTCAATGACAGCTAGCTTCATTCACATGACCTCTAATCTCGACCGTCAAAATTAAACCTGTATTTTACTATTATAATACCTAATCATTTGCAAAACGTAATGTGGTGCATTAAATTAATTAATTAATTTCTAAAATATCTAATTTGCATGTGTGAGTGTGTGTGTGTGTATATATAGAGTCTCTCAAAACCCTCTAATGCATTCCACTGCATGCAGCATTAGTCTAAGTAATTTCCAATTTAAAAAAAAAAAATATTATTTATTTTTGTTTCAGTTTTCTTTGATTAATTAATAGAGATATGGTTATTGATCAAGAAAAAGATATTGAAAAATATGGAGTTGATGATCTGGAAAAGCCATTTATTCAGCACGTTAAATGTGTCGATTCCGAAGAAGAAGCCGTCGATGAAAACGGATCGATTTCGATGGTTTTGTTGAGTACATGTGTTGCTGTTTGTGGATCATTTGAGTTTGGATCATGTGTAAGTATTAATCACTATGTGTTTTAACTGTGTGTTCATATTATTATTTTTATTATTATTTTTTAATTTTTTTAATTTTTGGGTTAAGTTAATTAATTTATTTAATTTTGCAGGTGGGATACTCTTCACCTACTCAATCAGCTATAAGAGAAGACTTGAACTTATCTCTGTCACAGGTACTAATTCAATTTTTATTCCTGATTTTCTTGAAAATAAAATAAAATAAAATAAAATAAATGTGCTTATAGTATAAAGCCATTTTAATTCATTACTGTAGTTCTCAATGTTTGGATCCATAATCACCATCGGCGCAATGATCGGTGCAATCACTAGTGGCAGAATCGCAGATTTTCTCGGTCGAAAAGGGGTACAAATAACTAAAATAAAATTATATATGACGAATTACATACAAATAAATTAATTAATTAATTTTTCCCTTATGCAACAGGCAATGAGAATATCAGCTATTTTCTGCATTATAGGATGGCTCGCCGTCTATTTTTCCACTGTACGATTTCGACACATATACGACGAATTATTTCCTATAAATTAATTAATTGCCATTTTATGTGATAATTATATATTAAATTATTAATGCAGGAAGCCTGGTTACTAGACATTGGAAGATTCTGCACAGGATATGGCATAGGAATATTCTCTTATGTGGTATAAATAATATAAATATGAATTCTTTTAATCTTCTAAATTAAATACAAATTGTGGGTTTTTTTAAAAATTAAATTTATAATTGATACGACAGGTTCCGGTATTTATAGCTGAAATCGCACCTAAAAATCTCCGCGGAGGGCTTGCAACACTAAATCAGGTGATAAGAAAATAAATAAAATCATGCATATTTAATTTAATTTGTGTAATTTATTTCATACTAAATAATAATATTTTTTTTTTCTTGAACTTCTTTTGTCCAAAGCTCATGATTGTTTGTGGCGCATCTACGGCGTATTTACTAGGAACAGTCGTGACATGGAGAACGTTAGCTCTTACCGGTAACGTAAAATACTATGAAGAAATAATAGAAAATAAATAATGTATATATATTTTAATTAATATATCAAGAAATTAATGGACTAAAATTCTTGATGATTATAATTAATTGATGATTTTTTTTTTGTTGTGATGTATATAAATATAATGTAGGGTTGCTGCCATGCATTCTAATTCTTGTGGGCCTATTTTTCATCCCAGAGTCACCTAGATGGCTGGTGAGATTCAATTTTATTAATTACATAATTAGTTATTGAAAATAGTAATTAATCGAAAAGTTTTGTTGCAGGCGAAAGTCGGACTTTGCAAAGAATTTGAATTGGCATTACGAAAACTCCGTGGCGCGGATGCTGATGTTTCTCAAGAAGCTTCAGAAATTCAAGTATGTATATTTTTATCATTTCTTCTGCATACTGTTAAAAAAAAATTACTAAGTAATTTTTTTTTTACTAATTTATTTATTTATTTAATTTTTTTTTTGTGACAGGCTAGTATTTATAGTATGCAAGATCTTCCTAAAGTTGGAGTTTTGGACTTGTTTGAGGCCAGATATATGCGTCCCCTCATTGTAAGAATAATGAGAGAGAGAGAGAGAGAGAGAGAGAGAGAGAGAGAGAGAGAGAGAGAGAGAGAGAGAGAGAGAGAGAGATTTTGTATTTGAATATTATATATACAATAAAATGACATAGTTTTTTTGTGGTGTTTTTTTAGGTTGGTGTGGGATTAATGGTTTTCCAACAGTTTGGAGGAATAAATGGAATTGGTTTCTATTCTAGTGAAACCTTTGTTGCAGCTGGTAATTAATTTCACATTTTATCAATTATTTTTTTTTACTTAATTAAATTAATTATTATTATATTATTATTTTTTCTCATTTAATTTGGATGGCTCAAAACCTGCTGCAGGATTTTCTTCAGGAAAAATTGGGACAATTGCATATGCCATAATTCAGGTCTGCCTGATTTTTCTTTTTTCCGACAATCCAATAAATTTCCGAAAATCCCGAATTATTTTATATTTATAATATTATTATTTAGGTTCCGATAACTATGGTTGGAGCAGTATTAATGGATAAATCGGGACGAAGACCGCTACTAATGGTGAGTAATTGCCGAATCGTCTCGTCATATATTATTCATTTATTTATTCTCCTTCCTCATTAAAAAAAATGCATAAAAAATTATAATATACTAATTTGCAATTTTCAGGTATCAGCATCAGGAACATTTATTGGATGCATCCTCACAGGAGCTTCTTTTTACCTCAAGGCAATTAATTAATATTTATATATAAATAATAATATTAATAATAAAAAATAATGATTCATAATCATTTTTAATAATCCAATTTATTTGCATATCAGGGCCAAGCTTTATTGCTTGAATGGGTGCCAATTCTTGCTGTTTCTGGAGTGCTGGTAATATTAAATATATTTTTTTTCTATACTTGCTATATTAAATAAAATCAATTATATGACATCATTAATCTGAATCAGAAAAAATTAATTACTATTTTCTTGAATAAATTTGATCAGGTATTTGTAGCAGCATTCTCAATAGGAATGGGTGCAGTTCCTTGGGTTATAATGTCCGAGGTAATAAAATAAAATGAAATGAAATAAAAGACATAGAATTGATTAATTTTTGTATTATTAATTTTTTTTTAATTAATAAGTTCTCTAATAATAATTATATATATATTTATATTTAATTTGTTCAGATATTCCCAATTCATGTAAAAGGAGTAGCTGGGAGTTTAGTAGTTTTGGTGAACTGGTTAGGTGCATGGGCAGTTTCCTACACTTTCAATTTTCTCATGAGCTGGAGTTCAACTGGTCAGTATTATTTAATAAAATATATATTTTTTTATTAAATATATTAATTAAAATCGAAATTTTTTGTATTCGTATATTTCAGGTACTTTTTCGATCTATGCCGGAGTCTGCGCAATGACTGTAGTGTTCGTTGCAAAAGTTGTTCCCGAGACGAAGGGGAAAACACTAGAGGAAATCCAGGCCTCTTTCAACTCGTAAAATTTAATTTAATTTCATTAATCAATTTTGGAGGAATTTGTTGTCTATTATGTTGTATTATCTTTCATTTTTCTACAACTCAAACGATTTTCTTCTATTCGTTGATAGATGTTGCGATCGAGCATTCCGAATAATGTGATTATTTAGTATATCCAGAACCCGTTTGGCTAAGCTCATTATAAATTCTTACGTACGTCTAATAAGCTGTTTTAAGAGCTGACAAGCTCTTACGTTTTATTTCTAGAATTGAATTTTAAAGTGTTTGGATAGTGAACTTATAAGCTATTCTTACTCGTTTTAACATCTTAAATTAAAAATGTGAGGTAGTTGTACTATCTAAAAATTATCTTAAAAGCTCTTTTGCAGCTTATTTAAAAAATATATACCAAATACTTCGGAAGAGCTTATAAGCTTTTAAACATCTTATAAACTAAACTCTTTTTAATATCTTATAAGCTATTTTAACATAAATAATTCAAAAAAAAGTAAAATATTGTGAATATTTTATGATGAAATATATAATAATATTATATTTGAATATTTTATTTCCCTCTCGAATTAAATTTTATAATTTGGTCAGAAATAAAATCCAAGATCCAAATTAAGATCCGGTTCTAATTCAGCCACGAGCCCATAAACCGACCCACTTAAAAAACTGGGCATTCATTTCGATCCAAGGCCCATTTACACCGTCAACAGTACCCTTGGCACGCGCACTCACGCGCGTGTGCTACACTCAACCACCAAGCAACGGTGAAAAGCCAACCGTCGTCATTATATACTGGCCACACCTACACACACTGACACAGTCTAATAAAAAAATAAAAAATAAATAAAAATCGAAAACAAAACCCCATTTATCGCCCACGAAAATCCGAAATTAATCCAGAAAATTCACCATTTTATAGCACCGGTTTCGAGGTAAGAATTAATCACAGCTCTGTAATTGTACAAATTCTAATTGATTTATAGCTTCTTATATTTGATTATCGTCTCCAAATTCCGAGCTTTGTGTGTAAGTGCTGACGTCACTGATTACGTTTGCTGATTACGCTTGCGTCACTGATTACGTTTGCTTATATTTGTATAACACAGTTATTTTGCTGATTAATTTCGTAATTTTATATGGTTTTTTTCTGCATATGTGGTGAAATTTATGTGTTATTGTAACCCAATTCTCACAAGAGGGATAATGATTGAATATTGATATGTATGCTTTGCAGGAATACTGGTGAAATTTTTCGAAGTGTTTTTCTATTTTGCATCTTTTTATTCAGTGTAGGAGTTTATTTATTTGTAAATAAAAAATCGGAAAAAATGAGTAGGTGGTTAAGAAATTATTTCGAGGATAGAGATAGTATAAACGAACACGTAGAAGGATCGTGTACAAATGCACAGCTTGGCTGCTCAGACGAAGAGTTTACGAAGCTCACGAAAATGCAGTCGGCCCCAGACGAACGCTTGACTAGGGTTTTGCCCGGGAGGAAGGGTAAATTACCCGTTTCGCCCCTGAAAATGTTGGTGGGGAGAGAATGCAACTACAATGGAAGAGGGAGGTTTTCCTTATCGGACTCTTGTCATATATTGAGCAGATATTTGCCCGTTCATAGTCCTTCGGTTATCGATAAAATGAACAGCTGTGTGTATGTATCTCAATTTTCGGCCGATGGGTCACTTTTTATTGCTGGATTTCAGGTATTTGCGAATTGTTTTGTAGTTTATTAATTCGGTTTCTTGATTTCAAACGTCACTCAATTTTTTTTTTTGATAAATAAATAGGAGACTGGTATTAGAATATATAACGTCGATTTGGGGTGGAAAATTCATAAAGACATTCGTGCGAGAAGCTTGAGGTGGACTATTACCGATACTTCTCTTTCGCCAGATCGCCGTTTTCTTGTAAGCATTGTTTGAGGTTTTGCATATGTGGTTTTTTGGTTTTATTTGTCTTTGTTCTTACATATTACCGGTACCAGGTTTATTCGAGTATCTCACCTGTTGTACATATCGTTGATGTCGGATCGTCTACAAAGGAGTCCTATGCAAATGTCACGGTTTGTCTTTCAACCTCTTTGATGCTAATTTGTTTATCGGTTTTGATTTGATGTAATATAACTTTTTGCTCCGATTCGATAGAACGTGGTTGATGTTTGGTTTATCCCTATAAAAGAAAAGTGATTTAACGATTTAATGTAATAATCTCTTTAAAAAAAAATTCTCCATTCAGGAAATTCACGAAGAATTGCAATTTTCATCTAGTGGCGAAGATTACGAGGATTATAATTTTGGTATATTCTCTGTTAAATTTTCAACCGATGGGCGAGAAATTGTAGCTGCTAGCAGTGACGATTCAATTTATGTTTATGATCTCGAAGGCAGGCGACTCAGCCTTAGAATTCCAGCTCATCAGGTAAACCACACGCTATTTAACCATGGTTAAATAAAAGGGAATTGTTAATTTTTCTTTTATAATTTGCATGTTTATTGCAGTCTGATGTCAATGCTGTATGCTTTGCCGATGAAAGTGGCCACATCATATATTCTGGCAGCGACGATAGCCTCTGCAAAGTAATGTTTTTTTTTCATAATTTTTTTCTTACAAGTGGCATTTATATTTCTTGGTAGATTTATTCGATCAAATATATTTTGAAATTTCCGAAATATTTCAGGTTTGGGATAGGCGTTGCTTTGTGGCCAAGGGGCAAGCAGCTGGAGTATTGGTGGGGCATTTAGAAGGCGTGACATTTATCGATACTCGCGGAGACGGTCGATATTTAATTTCAAATGGAAAAGATCAAGCAATTAAACTTTGGGATATTAGGAAAATGTCGTCCAATGTCAATTAGTATGTCTACAGCTCGTCATTTTTATCGTGGTTTAATTATTTTTATTGCATTAATACGAGGATTTAAATATATATATATATATTTTTAAATTCAGCACACCAAAACGACGATACGGTGAGTGGGACTACCGTTGGATGGAATACCCAGAACAGGCGAGAAATTTACGACACCCCGATGACCTGTCATTGGCTACATATAAAGGCCACTCTGTATTGCGCACTCTTATACGGTGTTATTTTTCACCAGCATATAGGTAATATTCTTTTTTTTTCTAAATAGTTCAAAATTCGTAAAACTCCAATCGAAATTGATTTTATTTCTTTCTGCAGCACCGGGCAAAAGTATATATACACTGGATCGACTGATTCATCCGTTTACATTTATGACGTGGTATGTATTTCATCATGTCCTTTTCTTAGTGGCCCTTTACGATTTTTTTCGTAATTCTCGGATGAAATCCTTCTATGAAACTACTTTAGTCCTCGTTTGGTTCCTAAAATAAGATTAGGCAAGATAAGATTACATAATCTAATGAAAAACCAATTGTATTATTTAAATAATATTTCCGGTTATTATTTGATTAATCACAGCTAATCTCCCCAACCAAACGAAAATCCAATTATTTAACTTTACGTTCAGCTCCAATATTTTGCTCCACAATAAAATTGAAATTATTTTACGTGGCTTAATCAAATTTTGTCAAAAACTCGGGCTCAGTTTTTTGAAATAAATTTTCTCCATGGCAGTTGAGTGGGGCTCAAGTTGCAAAGCTCGATTTTCACGACGACCCTGTTAGAGACTGTAATTGGCACCCTTTCTACCCTATGATTGTTAGCTCTGCGTGGGATGGTATGCTTGCTCGTTGGGAATTTCCGGGTGACGGTAGTGAAAATGCTGATCCTATCAGACGAACCAGAAGAAGACGCAGATTTTTCTACTAAATTTTGGATGTAGAATTTGTCTATTATATATTATACACACATATATTTATAAGGTCTATATTTTGATCATTTTATATATATGTTGTATAATTATAACATGTATTTTTACCAGTTTGCAGACTTTATAATGAAAGATAGGGGTGAAATTTGTGAACTTTCCATCTTAATAAATCATACATGAATGATGAATCCCTTTTTGTTTTACTTGATGTATATTGATTAGTCTTAACCATTTGAATGATTCTTTGTTTGGTTGTCACTCTTTGATAATTAGGAGTTTTTTTTTTAATCTTGTGAGATTGGTTTGGTGGGAAAATTACAGTTTTCGTCCCTCAAGTTTGCATCGGTTTCATATTCGATCCCCATGTTCACATAAATTATATTCGGTCACTTATGTTTCAACAATTTAGCATTAGTCCGTCAGTTGAGAGAGTGTATGGGCGTTATGCTTGATTCCGTATTTCTGTTAGTACTAAACCAAAAATTGAGGGATACGACCAAAAGTATTACATTATTGAAACCTGAGGGACTAAATATATTATTTTGTATACATGAAGGACTAAACGTGGAATCAAGGTAAACTTCCGGAATGAAAAGTGTATTTTTCTCTTGGTTTGGTTGTATGAATCATAATGTATTTGCATTTGTCAATTATATTTATTTAGACTACTGTTAAGTAAATTTGATTTGATTTTTTGGCTGTCCGATGTTATATTTATATTGAGAAATTTACAGTTTTCATCTTTCAAGTTTGCAACGATTTCACATTTGGTCTTCATGGTCACAAAAAACATATTCGGTCCCTCGTGTTTAAATAAATTGACACTTTTGATCATTTCCGTCAATTTTCCGGGATGGGAACACGTTTGATTCCGTTAGTATTAACGAGAAAATTGACGAAAATGACTAAAAATATTGAATTTTTGAAACATGAGGGATCAAATATGTTTTTTGTGAACATGGAGGACCAAATGTGAAATTAGAGCAAACTTGAGGACGAAAACTGTATTTTCCCTATATACAAATTTTCTACAACGCTTTTAATATAATACGACAACACCGCTATATAGCCAATTAACGTTTTCTCCAATTTAGACGATAGAAAGTCAACTCTTTCTAAAACTAAAGACGTGCTTCCCACTTAGCCGACAAAATATAAAAAACGCTATTTTAAATCTCTCCCTAGATTTCATCTCTCCGCCCTGCTCCGATCGCAAAACACACACAATCACACACAGTGAAGGCGAAGAGTGAAGCAACAATGGCGTCTCCTACAGCAAGGCTCACATTCCGCATACTCCTGGCGGCGGCGGCGGTTCTCTTACTTTTCTATGTCGGCCGCCCTCTCTACTGGAAAATCTCCGCCACCGTTCACGACATCCGCCACAACAAACAAACTGTATCTGGAGGTTTTATATATATATTATTCTCTACAGTACTTATATCATTTTACAAGCGTTTCAATTTTCCTCTAATTTTCTGAATTGAGATATGTGTCTGATCGATGTCAAAATGAATTCGAAAAAGATGCCCTAAAAAAATTAACTATGATTTTGTGCAAATGCTTATATACTTGCTCAATTAGGGCTTTTTTTCGCCCCCTGAATGCTGCATTTTTCATGTTAATTGAAATAATTATGTATAATGCTGTATTAATTTTATGATTTTATTTTTTTAATTTTGAATATATATATATATATATATAGGGATATCCCAAATTGTGCAAGAAGCTCAGAGATCGGTGGGGTGGTACCATGACGAGTCAGACTCAGGACTGAGTGAGAACAAGAGATTTTCTTCAGCTAGGAGGTTTCTTCTCGATCAGGTTCTGTGAAATTCGAAACGTCCTTGTTCATGATTTTTTTTCCCTTTCAATTTTCGTTTTTATCCACGAAAAGAGATACCACGTCATCGTTTCTGTCGATAGAGTAAATGTATTGATATATAGTTGTTATTTAAACGGCATCGTTTAAATAAAAGTTATGTAACTCATACGTATATGTGACCGTTTACTGTTATAGTATCATCTGTTTGTTGCTGTTAAAATGCGGGTGAGAATTGTGATGCTAGCCTAGATTTATAGTTGGTGATTTTTTGTGATAAGAATTATGTATTATGTGATCGTTCTTAGAGCAAATGTATACCGATTGAGTGAATTCAACCAGTCATTTTTGTTTAGTAGTTATTCGGTTTTATCGTTTTTAAGATGTAGAATTGTTAAGAAGATTAGCTTTACTCCTCGACTAGGAAATGCATATCCGAAATGGGAGCAGTGGTGATTTATCTTTCTCGGGAGCCAGTATTTACTAAAAAAAGTTTTGTGCGGGACCGATAATACTAAATTATTCTGAATGTAGCAAATCAAAACAGTGGATTCTTGAAAAATAGTGGGATGTTTGGGTTTGGGGGGGGGGGGGGGTGGGTGATTCATATGTAGTTGTTTAGTACTGGCTGAGTGTATGTATTTCCGACCGGGATTCGGAGATTCGTGGTTGCTGCAAGTTGTCTGGGAGGTGTAGGTGAACTTCTGGTTGTAGATTACTTAGGTTTGTGCTTTAATATAGTTTACTATAATAAGATTAAGACTGCATTTCGATTACACGATTTGAAGTTAGGATTTCTCTTATTCGCAGTAAAGAAAATTTCGGGTGATCTTGTTTGAATGGATTCATTACAGAATGAATTTCAAATAACTGTTTCTCATTTTTAACTATTTTTTCAAGTTTGGATTCGGAATTTACGATATGTAGTCATTTGAAATATTTTCTGGAAATCCGTCCGGCAAATGCTGCACAGAGTCGAACACTCGTTAGAAATAATTAAGGCCACGTTTGGTTGTCACTATTAAGTTCTATCGACGTTAGTCAAATACAATCCAGTCTAATTCAATACGACTTTACTAGACGTCGGCTAATGAAAAATTAGGTAAAGCCCTTAAATTTTTTTTTGAAGTGCTTAAATTGCTATCCAGTCACTAGCCATATTGAATGGGCCAGAATTTGAGATTCCATTTCTCCTTTCTTTTAGGCTTTAGTTTGCTACGGGTTTACACTATGCTACACCAGGTGTGTAGATCAACGGTAGAAATTCACCTGGTGTAATGGAGGAATGTAAATCACGGTGACTCAACGGCTCGTTAGGGCGTGATTGCGGTTAGTCAACAATGGCGATCTTATAAAATCAAGATTGTGTGATTTAAAAAAAAAAACTCGAATATAATTTACATGGGGTAAGCCTAGGAATTTTTGTAATTAAGGGAACTAGATATTTTCATCTTAATTATCATTACACTTGCAAAAGAAGCATAATTAGTGAAATCAAACGGTTGGAATTAGTGGGCCTCTTAAGTGTGCTTTTAGTTAGCTAATGATAATAATCCCTAATTAAAGTACTTTGAAATCATCACTTTGAATTACTAAATGGAATCCACTAATTGCAGCGTGCATAGATGCTTCTCTTATTGCTATTGATGGATGGCAGATTAATTGACTTCATATGATGAAAGATTTTACTTAATGGGGGAATTTTTTTGACTATCATTTAAATATAAATTTGACTTAGATTAATTTATTTGATAAAGGAACAATTGGTTTAGTGGTTCATAAGTATTGCATCATGCACTTCAAAAAGATTACTATTTTTTCTAGTCGTCTAAACTTATTTTAGACAGCTGATAAACTCGTGTTTTAAAAAAACTAGAATTGCTAGAATGAAAATACGATAGTTTATAAATGGATGCCATATATGTGCAATGAGTGAACCGACACTCTCGTATACAAACCATACGAGAGACGTAAACTGTATTAGGTAATCAGCGGAAATCTTAACG